ACCTTAAGAAAGTATTATTTGGAAATTAAATGATGCTAGCTACAATAGAACAGAACACTGTATAATAATAAGGAAACGTTTTATTATTGCCAATGAGACAACTACCCACAAGATTCCAAATGACGTAGATGTCAGCAACTATCTAGGTCAACGTACAACCTTAAAAAATGAGCAGAATGCATATAGTCTTCTTTAAAAGCATTCGGGAAATTGAAACGAGAAAACCAACGGCCTGATTTCTGATAAAAGCAATAGTAAAGAAAAACAAATATGGTAGACAACAAAAAACGACAACCACTGTCAGTAACATACAGTATGTGACGAATCGAACATGTTTGTGTTTGCTGAAACCAAACCTAATCGTGGATAGTGGTGTAACAGCACAATAAGAGAACAAGATGTTCAAATTGGCTTGAAATTCGGAAAACCATAACAAATTCCACAAAACAGAAACAAAAATCACTGACTACCGATTTAAGATGACTCGGAGCATCTGAAGGCGAGTTCAAAGTCAATAACAGCTTTAGGAGCACCTGAGATCACCCCCAGTTTTTGGTGGGGTGCGTTTTCTATGTTGTGTCATCTGTACTATTATTTGTCTATTTGTCTTTTTATTTTTTGCCATGGCGTTGTCAGTTTGTTTTCGATTTATGAGTTTGACTGTCCCTCTGGTATCTTTCGTCCCTCTTTTATGAATAAATCGTGTTCTCCCATGAATGCGTTTAACTTGCACCCATCAAACACCTATAGTGAAAGGACGTCATCAACAGTCTGAGAAATGCCCAATCTTCAGTAATGCTAAAATATAATGGTATCATTAGTTTTCTAAACTGTATACTGATAGATCTACATATTTAATTTATCAAAAACCCAGTAAATATTAGTTCAAATAAAAACTACTATTTATCTGATTTACAATTTGTCTGCAGTAATGGTGTGATGTTACATTGTTGTCCAATGTTAAGTATGGTTAGGGTGGGTATTTCTCACAAACACGTCACATTATATCTGTGTCTTATCCAAGCCAGAAGCCTGTAGTTCAATGGTTGTCGTTGTTTGTTCTATCATCATTGTTTTTCGTATAATGCTTTTACTTTTAATAAATTATGCAGAAAACTGACATATCTGTACTGTTACAGTAAGAATGTCATTTTCAATATTAGTATACTAGTATATAATTCTTATATGATTTGCATATTAGAGAATACGTTGATATGATTGGTTGAGAGGACTTCCGGTAGTTGTTCTTGACGTTGTTTTTTTTTGTTGATAGACGACGTTGACCGAATTTCTTTTCGTAACCAATGTAAACAAGATGGCGGCGATAGTGACACAATACGGATCGACGTTAACAAAATGTATTTTCAATTCGCGTTAATAGGTCTTAATTTGTACTTGTTTTGGCTTTCGAACTTTTTTTATCTTAGCGTCACTGGTTAGTCTTGTGTGGACGAAACGCGCGTCTTAAATTTTAAACCTGGTACCTTTTTGTAGCTATTATTCGTATGTTTCTCTGTCCTATATGTTCTCCCATGTATTTGAATTGTAGTCCTGTCATGTAATGTTGTCATTTTAATGTTATATTTAACATTGTCATAAAAGCAGGAGGTTTGGCTAGCCGCAAAACCAGGTTCAACCCACCATTTTTTTCTTAAAATGTCATGTACCAAGTCAGGAAAATGGCCATTGTTATATTATAGTTCGTTTCTGTGTGTGTTACATTTTAATGTTGTGTATATGTTGTCTCGTAGTTCTCCTCTTATATTTGATGTGTTTCCCTCAGTTTTAGTTTGTAACCCGGATTTGTTTTTTTCTCAATCGATTTATGAATTTCGAACAGCGGTATACTACTGTTGCCTTTTTTAATAGTTAAATTAAATAATAAACACAAAACATTCGTTTGAATGATAATAAGAGTTTTTGTAGTTTATTTTTTATTAGATTGCAAATTTCATGGAGTACAGATTTTTGCATTAACCAAAAAATGTATTCATGCGACAGGCCTATTCAATGACACAAATATACAATTTACGTGTGATAAAGGTTACGAGTGTGGAAAAATAAATTCCTTATCTCCAATTTTAAAGAATTATAAGGATTAAACGCCTTTTTAAAGGAATTTATTGCTGTATAAACTGTACCAAGTCACTCACAAATATATCATAAAAGTCCTTCGGACTTTTATTTGTTTGTGAGTGAATTGGTCGAGTTTATACACCAATAAATTCCTTTAAAAAGACGTTTAATCCTAAAATAAACAGTTTTAAGCAAACTTTATTAATCGCAACTGCTAAGCTACTGCCAATTCAAGATTATAATCAATCAAAGATTTGGCAGATGAAAAATTCTGTACATCATATACCGAATGAAACATAGAAGTATTGGTGTTCGTAACCTTATGTTTCGAACAACAGTAGCCCCATAAATGAGCTTGGTGCATCGCTCTTCATAATGTTATTATTACTATTGTCCCCTGTTGTTTGTATCCAAACATGGTCTCCTTTTTCTACTAAACAGACCGTCACTCTAGTTGCTGGAATCATACCGGCAGCTGACCCAAGACTAATTGCAAGTTCATCAATAACGACATTATCTAACCTCAGTTCAGTAAACACATAATCTGAGGTGTCCGTCAGTGTCATCCAGGAAAACTGATAAACTCCTGCGACTGGTGCTACAAATACTCCATCTCCAGAGTTGTAGTAATTTCCCACGTTAAGTACAATATCATTGAATTTTACAATTGAATATTTATTCAGAGTAACTGTTCCTGACAGCCTGGCATAAAACACAAAGTGGTTGTCTGTGTATTTTTTCTGATCTACAAATGAAAAAGGGAGAAAACAGCGAATTCTAACATAATGAAGATACGTATCGGCACTAAACAAAATATAAAACAGCCTTGTGAATAGATTTTTTTTACAAAAGTCCTTAAAATACTACCTAGCAAAATTAAGATTGGACAATGAGACCCTTCCTTGTCCTATACCAAAATGGAATTGGGATGCCTCGATGTGTTGTGGTGGTTCCTGCTTCGCTAGATAACCCATCGTAACCAGTCGAATTCAGTGATGATTATACAAAAAAAAAAAGATGTTAGGAGAGATAGGGAACGTATCCGAGGTTATCTATAAGACAGATGTTATGTACATGGGAAAAAGTCAAACGCAGATTTTACGTTTATTTTACCAAATGATAGCCATCGTACGTGAAACGTGCTTTTGAAAATGAATGTGACATGAATCATAGAACGCAAAGAAGTGATCTATATATTTATATGTGCTTAACGTTTTCTGTAGTGTGTATAAAACATGCGTGTTATTTTTTTCCGGTGTAACAATCAACCAAATTATTATAGCGTCCATGTAAAACTTTCAGACATAAGTTCAACTTTACCATAGCTCTGTTAACATCAATTCCCTAGCTACCGATGACAGTCGTATACAAACTCGGTCTTGAATATCATATAAAATAGGCAATGCATACTCCATATTTAGTTGATGATGGAATTCACCCAGAAATCAACCAGTTTCCGCCATAAACTGCGTTTTTGTCCATTAATCAGGTGATACCACACATAACATAATTTCAGTTTTAGATGATTGTTTAATTGTTGGTTGCTTAACGTTCAGTGTCAAATATTTCATGCATGTTCAGGACGAGAACAAATTAGCACAAAATTATATAAGTAGGTCCTATAATGGAGGTCGTCCATGGATGGTGGTCGTAGAAAATTTGGACTGCCACTGGAAAATGATGTTATAGTGGATATGAACAGAAATGTTTGCCTTGCAACAGGTCACCTACGGACCCCTTAAAGAGTTATTGCAATGGTTCTTAACGTTCAGAGATCCTGCACTCTCCCTACATTTAGCATCAGATTTAAATCCCGCTGCAATTACAATCTCAAATGATTATCATGGTTGTGAGTGCATTGCAAACGTTTTTTTTATGCATTCAAGTTACACTTTTAGCAAGTACATGTATTTATGAACAATATTAGTTATCATAAATAGGTTTACTAGTATGATATTTTTGGCGGTTTCAGCTACTAATATTTTTGTTCGTTCGAATAAAGTATTTTGTAATCAAATCGAGAATCATGAACAACAAGAAAGAATATAAAATCTTTAAGATTAAACATTGAAATTTCTCGAAAATCAAGTGTAAAGAAACCACGAATTCGATTATTGTACTGCGCAATATTATTTTTCTACTAGAATGAAAAAAGTGATCTTGAAATAATTCGATTCGCAACAAATTGATATTTTAAGAGTGTTAAACTATGTCAGTGACGACTGTTTATTAACCGAGAAAACTTTGACAAAACTTTCAACTTTTAAATTCTTCATTTCTTTACCCTTTTCATCCCGTAGTATAATTTGCTATGTACAATGGATTCTTTCTTCAGACAAACTTTATGTTATTTAATTGGTTTTGAAGTATAGTTGCGTCAAGACATGGCATTTCCGTAAATGTTTATATTAAATGTCTACATTTATTTGCATAAATAAAATTATTCTGGAAAATGATAAGATTTTAAAGTGGACAGAAAATACGCTCATACACCTTAAAAAAATAAAGAAGAAAACAAACAAATCTAGAAAGTCTAAGGAACCATAATCGCTCACTACCTTTCTATAACATAAATTTAACAACAGTTTTAATTCGTAAATGAGATAATAAACAAGAGTATTCATGAAATTATGCTAGTTGCAATCGAAAAAAAACCACTAGAAAAAATGAGGAGTTGTGGTATTGTCACAAATAGAAACTGGGTGTATCTTTTGACTGGGTGATGTGTGTTGGCCTACAATCGCACACACACAATAGACAATAAGAAGAGTCTGCACGGACTCTGACTCTGGGACTAACTCTTGCAACAAATGACGACTCTTGTTTCCGCGATATATAATTTGATAGTTCAGCATGGAATAGAAATCTCTACTTGAATTCAGTATTCAAACGTGACCATGACCCAGAAAATACATGTGAAAGTAGGATACATCAGTATCACCACCTTGTTCATAGAAGGATACCTCAGTATCACCACCTTGTTCATATAGAAGGATACATCAGTATCACCACCTTGTTCATAGACGGATACATCAGTATCACAACCTTGTTCATAGAAGGATACATCAGTATCACCATCTTGTTCATAGAAGGATACCTCAGTATCACCACCTTGTTCATATAAAGGGATACATGAGTATCACCCCCTTGTTCATAGAAAAATACCTCAGTATCACCACCTTGTTCATAGACGGATACATCAGTATCACAACCTTGTTCATAGAAGGATACATCAGTATCACAGCATTGTTCATAATAGAAAACATCAGTATCACCACCAGCTGGTTCATAGAATGAATGATACTTCAGTATCACCCCACCCCTTTTGAAAGTGTATGAAAAGAAATTTTCACCTTAGTTTTAATAGTATATTATTTAATGTCTTATGACGTTTACCAATTACTACTTTTTGACTCAAATACCTTTTCGTAATAATAGGTTGAAGAAATGCTAGCTTCAGATTATTGTTCTAAATATATATGTCTTAGTTTAATATCTTTGGTGATAAGTGGCTTTACTTGTACTCAGATCTCGAAATTTGGATTTGCTTTTGATATATATTTACAGCTATTTCTGCAGTCCTTAGTGCTAGATTGTATGTTGAGACGTCAACTTTCGGTCAACTTAAAATTTGCATATCTAACTTTCTGCATTTGATATCATTGTAGGCCATTCTTTGACTATTTGGAACAATCTCCTTCTTACCTATATAGTCCTTATAAGTATGTTTTCTGTTGGTGCTGCAACATTATCTCCTCAAGATGTTATTCAAAGACTCAACTATGGAGTAGTGTTTCGCCCAGATTCTAAGATGTACCTAGCCAAAGAAGCATGGCTAGACACCTTCCAGATAGATATCCCAAGACCCAGAGAAATCAACATTGCAAAATTGCCAATTTGTTCTTATGAGAACTACTCAAATATATGTTCATCCATGAATAGTATGAGACATTTCATTCAGCATTTACATGACTCTATGGAACATGACTTGAAAGAAACAATTCAAGCAATTAAAATATTAGTACCTCAGACTAAATTAGTCGAGTCAAGTAGAAATGGGCGTGCTATTATTCGTTTTATTGGCTCAATGGCCAAAGGTTTATTTGGATTGGCCACAATGAGTGATGTTCCGTTGTTGGCCAATCACATTAATGCTTTAAATGCAAAATCAAGAAGTATAACTGAAGCTCTCCAGCAACATTGTGATCACCTTTCGTCTTTTGTGAAAGTGATCGATAAAAGAACATCCATTTTAATGCAGGGTATTAAAGACAGTTCATTCGAAATTCAGACAATTGCCCATTCATTTCAACTAGCAATAGTTTCATCGGAACAATCCATGGTGAATATTTCACAGATTCTAATCACCCTAACTAACAATTTTACTTCAGTTACAGAATGCTTTTCAATCCTTGGTAGAAGGTCGAATTTCTCCTTTCCTCATTCCAAAGCATGATTTTTCTCGCACTCTTCACCAAATGCAGAGCACATTAAACAAAAAGTACCCTGGTTTCTATTTAACACATTTTCATCCTCCATAATATTACACTACATCCAACTTTATGTTTACCCGTAATTTCTCCTCTCTTTTCATCACAGTGCAATTTCCTGTATCTTCGCATGCACAACCTCTTCAACTCCATAAAATCATATCTTTACCTGTACCAACCCCTACTAATAAGAGTCAGACTACTAAGCATGCCACTAAATTGTTAGATTTACCACAGTACCTTGCACTAACCTATCAGCATGATTATTATCTCCCCTTATCAACCAATCGCCTAACTAATTGTGTGCATGGCCCTATTGTTTTCTGTACTTTTAATAAGGCACTTATTCCTATAACTGTTTCTGATTGTTCCCTTGCATTGTTCCAAAATAATGTAAAACAGGTATCAAGACTGCAATTTTAGGTTTCTAGAAAATCACCTTTCTCATGATACTATTGAGTTAACACCAACATCGGTGCTTGTTTATGACAGTGAAGAATTGGACTTACTTTATCCTCAAAGCCAAAGAAAGATACCTGGGTGCACATTCTGTGTTATCACAACATACCCTGCAAATGCTCATTGTCAGCTAGGAAATTATATGTTTCTCCTAGATTAGTTGATTGTTATGATTCGAGTTCAAATTTTTCTGTTTTACATCCAGTTAACTTAGCTCTTGTACAGGAATTTTTCGATGAAAAGCTATTTACCTTAGTTTTAGCAGAATCCCTTTTTACTACTCCTGTACAATTAGCAATTCCAGATTTTTCTTTTTACAACCTTAATATGTCAAAGATTTTAGCCGCAGACGCAAAAACCCATTTAAGTTTAAAGAAAATAGCTGTTGCTGCTAAAAAGGATGGAATGATTTTTAAAACGTTAACTGAACCATTGTTGTCTGGAGATATAAGCTTACAGTCATTCTTGGCCAGATACAAATGCTATTGTGAGTTTTTATTCACTTGGCATTGCTATTCATTCACTTTTCGCTTTCGCATTTTTATTTTGTAAAACAAGAAAGATAGCAATGACCATGACAATTATGCAACAAATGTCAAATGCCAAGTCTCAGAGTTACCTTCTTTTATTTATGTTAAACCCACTCAGCTTCCTCAAATGGAGCAGGATAATATTATTAAGAGAGTTAAGTAATTGTTTTCATGGGTACACGCTTCTGTTATTTTAAGTATCTTAGTTTTGATCTGTTTGTTCTTTTTTATATGTTATTTGTACAAATCAAAGCACAATCGGTGTACCTCATTAGTTTTGGAAGTAACCTGTAGGGGCGATTGTGTTGTCATTCCAATACTAGACTTATCCTTGTGCCCATCTTATTGTGAATTTTCAAGACCATCGGTCTCAGATTTGACTGTTGCCTCATTCCCCTCATGTAAAATGTTTGCAGTATGGTCATCATTTGAAGTTACAAATAAGTTAACTCAAAAGTATATCAAGATTCCGACCCAACTTACCCTATGGTTTCTCCAATCTTATAGAATAAAGAAAGTTTTGACACAACATTTTAATGCGTATATTTATGTGACACATCAAGGTGTTGCTTCTATATTGAATCAGCCAGCAAATGCTTCTAAGCAAACAGTTCAAGCATCAGCAGCAGATTCAAATTCCCTTTACCCTAGTCTTTTACCATGATTTTTCAATTTAACTCCTATGTTAGTGTCGTTTAGAACGGCTTATTAGGAAGTTTTACAAGTAAATTTTCAAAAAGGTTTATTATTGTACCTTGTTTATCACAATTCAATAATCCTAAATGTGTATATATGTGTAAATATGACCCTTTGATTTTTGGTTATTAGACATGACTTTATTCAAACCCCTTTTTATGGCAGATTGGATTTAGTATTACACTGGGCAGTTCCAACTCTGTACAATTGTATTCCATGCTGAACTATTAAATTATATATCGCGGAAACCAGAGTCGTCATTTGTTGCAAGAGTTAATCCAAAAAAACATTTTCGCATCGCTCCGCTCGGCGAAAATTTAAGTTTGCGCCCCCCTAACCTAAAATCCAGGATCCGCCCCTGATGATGAGGTTTTGTCTAGGTCTGTTCAATTTAATATCATAGTTTTAAAAAGTATGTAAATCCTCGTTTTCAGGTTTCTTACTTTAAACAGGCAGATCAAAAATGTGTCGTTGTTTTACCTTTTTTCAAGTGGGCGGAACAAAGTGTAGTTTGGGGTTGGTAAAAAGTCCCATCTAAGGCTGCGGGTCATTCGAAAACCAAAAATATCTTGTCACTATTATTTTTAATTATATTGCTGAATCCATCGGCATCACATATAATCATTTTTTATCACTGTCATGCGTTTTGTTGGATAAAAATCGAAAATAAATTTGCGCTGTACCCTTATGCCACTATGAATGATTGGAACCCGTGACGTAGTAACCTGGTTCTAAGTGACTTCTGGGATGAAAATATGCATATTTCAGAGGTGGATTTAGGAGGGCCCCTTTTGTGGAAAAAAATTGGTTGATTAGAGAGGGAATCACTGAAGTAGCACTGGAGCGGGCCACCTCTTATGCAGTCAGTGGGCCCCCCTTGTGAAAATTTCTGAATCCGCCTCTGTATTTAACAGGTCGATAAATTGTTGCATTAAAATACATATTTTACAAAATATTTGACACTTATATCGCTATCGGTGTAATATATGGCAAAAGGGGCATTACTGTCCAAAGAGGAAACTGTTTAATATGGAACGTAAAATCATCTTTTGAGTTGTAACTTTTTGGAAAAAAAATAGTGCATTTTACATGCTATATACGTTTGTAATATTTTAAGAACAGAGCACAAACCACAGGGCGTATAGCGATGACAACAACGTCTATATCGAAAAAGTAGTTTTAGTGTTGATCAAAAAGATGAAACCGAAAACCTACATTCCACTTTAAGTAATAAATTCAAAGAAAGTCGTACAAAATAAATATATTGATTATTTCAATAAATTTAAAGCACGAAATTTTATTTCATTTCAATCTTAAGAGAGAGAAAACACTACAAGTAACGAAAAGCTTTCAAAAAATAATAATTCAAAGACATGATTTTGTCCAACTAGATATTATTAACAAACTAGCTGCCATCTCCGACAAATCTTGCTAGGGTCTTTTATCGCTTACTCTATTGTATGGAGTGCTCATCGTTCAAGGCCGTTCAACGAACTATTGTTGCTAACACCAACGTCATTAAATTTGTCTCTAGTAGACAGTTGTCATTGGTAAAATCCAACCACATCTCTTTTTATGTGTATATGTAACCGTAGAACAAGCACAGAAATAATAATAAAAACAAAAACAGCACAAGATATATATAACATTGAAAACCACAGCAAACGAAACTTTTGAATAAACTAGAGACGCCGGGACTCAAATGCTTCGGAAGTGCATAAAGTTTCGGCTCGACAAGGGACACTATATTATTTGTTAAAAGAACAGACTCCTAGTACCTTTTATTTTTGTAAATTGAGTATACCAAGATAGATTTTTATACTCAAATACCTGTTTCGACCATACACATCAAGTTTTAAAAATCTGCTTCATATCTTGATATTTTCCATAGGTATCCATATCCGTTGATATATAGGCAATGATCTGCTCAAAACGAAAATCTACGACAGTCGTGATGATTTTTTTCAAAAACTTCTTTTTTCAGTTGTAGCATACCCTCTGGCCCATCGTATGGCGTTGTACACTGTATATCGATTAACACTTTATGCTCGTGCATGTACTCACTAT